AATGATGAAGCGGATCAAGCGGATCAAGTATGGCGCCTGCTTATGCTGCAGCAACTGTTGAGTAACACTTTGCAGCAACCACCCTCGATATCGACGCATATGTCTTCCCGCAACATGACGCGGATTGTTGAAGTTGAGGCGCTGCCTCGCTTCGGGCTTGCATTACGCTGCGGGCGCATCCTTTGGCGTGGGGCCTAAAAAACGTAGCGCAGGTCTTTTTACGTTGTTCTTATTGCCACACTACGCCAGACGATGAGCCGCAACATGGCGCAAGCCCGAAGCGAGGCGACACCTCAACAATCTCAACAATCCACGTCATGTTGCTGGAAGACGTACGGGTCGATGTCGACTTTATTGGCTTTGGACGGTGTGGAACAACATACCTATGTATTGCAGCCAACGTCATTATCTACTGCGGATGGTGCTGAGCAACACCACGCTGCTGTAGCTGAGCACCAACGCCACGAATAGTATCAGGCAACACTATGTTGTTGCAAGTAGGAGCCAACTTTTGGTTTGGATGGTGCTCAGCAAGACTATCGTTGCAACTAACGTCGTCTGTTGTCAATGGTGGGGAGCAACAGTGTACTAAAGTTATGGATGTTGTTGAGCTACACTACGCTGCTGCAGCTAACGTCACTATCTGTTGTCAATGGTGTGGAGCACCACTATCTGCTGCTGCAGCTGAAGTCATTATCTGTTGCAAACTGTGTTGAGCAACTCTACTGTTGTGGATGGTGTTGAGCTATACTACGCTGCTGCAGTTGTGCACCAACACTTGCCGCGACAATGTAAAGCAATACTATGCTGCGGCAAGCAGGCATCAACATTTGCCGAAGTTGTTGAGAACTACGCTGCTACAGAAAAACCATAATATTGACGATAGTGTAGAACAACAACACTGCGATCAATGAGCACTGCTGAAGGAGTTCACGGAAAAAGGAAAAAATTTAGTGTAAACTCGACCTCAATCGCTGGTATATCCGACAACTTCATTGACCGTTTCTTAGCCATGCCAACTTTTTTCTATAACAAGAATTTGATCCAACAAAAGTATTTAACCGAGCAATTCTAGTTCAGACCTTAGCAGACGTCTCAACCACAGCTCGCAATCGTGTCATCTTGCCTCGCCGAGCTCGTTTGGCTTCACGAGCTTGATACGCCATTTCATGTTCAATTCGGATTTGTTCCGGCTACAAGGAAGAAATTGGATGCGGGAAAGAACAAGCACCAGAAAGTTTTTACCGTTTTCTCAGCTTCCTTTTTCTTCTTCTCTTCTTTCTTCATCAATTTTCTTTCTGCTCGTTTGCGTTCTCGCTCTAAAATGGAGTTCTTACACGGATAGTGGGAAGCCATTGTGCAAATAAGCTTAGATGATAGCTGGTAGCTTAGATGAT